CGGCCGAACAAAGAGAGCTCGGAGGCGCTCGCCGGTCCCTGCTCTGCCCCTGGTTTTGCAGAGGAGAGAGGAGACGAGCGCAAGGGGTTGGTAGCAGGACAGGGCTGGGGTAGGGGAGGAAAGTGGGCAGCGCGCACGGGGGTGGGAGCTCACAGCTCCCCTGGGATGCAGCCGGGATGGGCAGGGAGCACCCGCTCTCCTCCTCTGCTCTTGCACGGGGCCGAGGGACAGAGCAGATGGCAGCGCGCAGGGAGACGCTGCTCTGAAACCACCCGACGGTGAATCACGCTCCTGCCGAGGCTTCTCCCCCGCGACGGGCTCCATGGTTTCCCTTTCCCTTTCTCGCCACGGGAACCTCATGGGATGATGTGCGCTGGCTGTGCCCGTCTTCAGGGGGAAGCTGAAACCCTCCAGCTGAGCCCTTGTGGGGGGTTATGACAGCTTTGCCAGCCGCTGCTCTCCCAAGGGGTGACCCTGCTCTGCAGCTCCTCCACCTGTCCAGGGCCCAGGCCAGGCTGCCCGGGACGACAGCAAACGGAGGGGGGTGTGTGTACCCCAGGCAGCTTGGGAACACCAACCCCTAGGCTATTATTAAGGCATGTTAATTACCAGCTGCTTATTGATCCTTGCTTTCCCACCCTCCCTAGCTCTGGGCTGCACATCTAATCACAGCAGGCTTGGTGATGGGAGAGCTGACCCTGGCTGGTTTGTGGCTGAAGCTGGAGGGCTGATGTTTGGCAGTTCTTTGGTGCACGTCTGGACACAGACCTGCCTGAGAGCCTTTGCTCACAAGGGCTTTGGAGCACGTCCTCTCCCTCCTCCTGACTTTCTCCTTCACCATCTCTTTTTTTTCCTGTCTTTCCTCCACTCACCCTTGCAGTGCTGTTACCCCTCTGCTTGCTACCCTCCCAGCCACTAAGCAAGGATCTATTCCAGAGACAGATCCCAGCCCTGTCCTCCCTTGCTCCCAAGTGATCCCAGGCACAGCAGCCAAATTCCCACTAATTCCCAGCTAAATCCCATGGGCCCTGGGGCTGAACACTGCTGGGTGCTGAGCACCCTGCAGCTGCATGGGCTCCCAGCCAGCCAGGGTGCCTGCAATCAGCCAGAGTGTCTTCATCATCCCGGTCACTCACACTCCAGATAATTACTTATTAGAGTAAAATAGCTGCTGTCACTGCAGCCATCAGTTGCTTCCGTGACCAAAAGGAACTGGTGGATAAATCACAGCCCACTGGCCATGTCTGGACACCATGGGAATGGGTGAGAAATAAAGGACAAATAGCTGAGGTTTGCAATCTGCCTGGAGAGTAGGGAGCCCTCGTGCCTCACCAAAACAAACTCAATCCCAAAGGCAAAGCTATTCCCATTGTTTCACACCTGTGTCATTTCAGTCTATTAGGAGAAGCAGAAATGCTCTAGGGCATTTCTCCTATCTCCTCATCCTGACAGTTGGTACCGCAACAGGGAGGGCGGGGGGG